GTGGTGAAGTTTCCTTGATCCTGAGCTCTGAGTGCTCTAGGAGTGTCCCTTGTGTGCATTCTGTGGACCCTCCTGTTGTAATTGGGAGCTGATTGTTGTTGGTCCACTCGTGGGAGGCATCTACTTTCACTCCTTGGAAATGAGCTTAGCAGGATGGGGCAGCAAGATTTGGGAATGCAAATTCAATTGGCACTTTGATTGGGGTGACAGGGGCCCTGTTTTCCTTCTAGCTCAGTGGTGCCCTACCAGAGACCCTGAGGAGAGGCTCCGAGGGGTTCGTACCAGATATCCCAGTTCTGAGTTGTGTCCCCTTTCCCCTGTGAGTCTGCATCTGCCTAATGGTATAGGTGGAACTTGGAGAAATAGATGAAGGCTGCTCCCCTCTGCTTGGTGTGTCACCAGCTCTTGGGAAGTGTGAGAGTTTTTCGCTCCCTTCTTTTTTTTGTTTGTTCTCACCCTAAGATATTTTACCCTAAGATATTTTACCATTGATTTTTTTTTTTTAAAGAGTGGAAGGGAGAGGGGGGGGGAAGAGAGAGAGAGAGAAACATCAATGTGAGAGAGACACATTGATTGGTTCCCTCTTGCACGGCCCCTGACTGGGGCTAGGGACTGAACCTGTAACCAAGTATCTGCCCTTGACCAGGAATCGAGCCTGAGACCCTTTAGTCCGCGGGCCAGTGGTCTATCTGCTGAGCCACATCAGCCAGGGATATCACCCCCTTCTGTCTCTGCAGCTCAGTTATAGAGGCCCTAATGGAGGCTTCTGAAAGGGTTGCTCCAAATATTCTGGTTCTGGTTTACACTTCCTTCCCGTTGCAGGACTGTGCTTGGCAGGCAGTGTCTGCTGATTTGGGGTATGCTAATCCAGGCAGCCCTTTGAAGGCCCTGGGCCTTCAGAAAGGGAGCTATGTGCTTGCCTTCTAGCTCAGAGGTGCCCCACCAGAGCTCATGAAGGGCAGCTCCAAGGGGGACATGCCAGATTTCACAGTTCTGAGTTGTGTACCTTTACCCTGCGAGGCTGCACCTGCCGGGCAGTGCTGGTGGGGTTTGGAGAAATAGATCAAGGCTGCTCCCTCCATTTGGGCTAGTGCCATCTCTTGGGAGGGAAGAGAGCTTGCCACATACTTCTATCGCTGCAACTCACTTCCAGAGGCCCTTGTGGAGGCCTCCAAGGCGGGTGGCTCCAAATGTCTCTGTTCTGAATTGCACTTATTTTCCTCTGTGGATCTGCGCTTTGAAGTTGGTGTAGCAGTTTTGGGGAATACAAATCCAGGCAGCCTTTAGTTGTGGTGGCATGGGTCCGCAGCTGGGTAGTTAGTTAGCTGCTTGCTTCTAGTTCAGGGTGGTGTCCCTCCAGGGATCCTGAAGGGAGGCTTGCAAGTGCTCAACTCCCTCAGCTCTTCTTATGGCCTCAGTATGCCCTGACTCTCCTTCCCTCTACCAGAGCCCTGGGTGAGTGCCGGAGAGCGAATTCCTGTGCATTAAGTCTTTAAGGGTATTGGCTGGGATTTAAGCAGACTCCCTTCTCTTCTTGGTGGACAAAGTCTCTGCTCATTTTTGTTGCCAGTTCTTATGCAGGCTTTTCTTCCAGGCCCTGGTGTTCTGAGTTGGAGTCCTCGAATTGGATTGAGACCTCATTTTCCTCCTTGTGAGGGGGGTGCTTTTGCAGCCAGCTTCACGGCTGCTGCCCCTTTGTTCCGTGACCAGTCCTTTCCATGTCTCTACCCTTCTTACCAGTCTCTGTAGCTTCTTCATTTTTATTCCTTGGATATAATACTCCAGTTCAGGTGACCTTCTGTTGTTAATTCAGGTTAATTGTTCTAAATTTTAGCTGTACCTCCAGTTCATTGCCACAAGGTATGTTTGGTTTTCAGGTATTCCACCACCATTTTTTTCCCCCTTTGGGTTGTTTTATTATCCATTCAGCTACCCTGTGTTTTTTTATTGGAGCATTTAATTCATTTATAGTTAAGGTTATTATTGATAGTTACTCATTTATTGCCATTTACCTGTGTTCATCTTTCTATTCTTAAGTCAGTTCCTTTAACCTTTCTTGCAATGCTGGTTTGGTGGTAATGAACTTGAGCCTTTTTTTTTGGCCTTCAATTTCAAACGATAAGGTTGCTCAGTAGAGTGGTCTTGGTTTCTATGCCTTTCATTACATTGACTACTTCATGCTAATCCCTTTAGTCTGAAGTGTTTGTGTTGAAAAATCAGTGGTTGGCCTTACGGGAACTCCCTTGTAGGTAACTGTTTTTCTCTTGCTACCTTTAAGATTCTCTCTTTGTCTTTGATGTTTACCATTTTAATCATGATGTGTCTTTGCATGGGTTTCTTTTGTTCATATTGATTGGAACTTCCTGTGCTTCATGAATATGTGTGACTTTTTCCTTTACCTGATTTGAGAAGTTTTCTGTTATAATTTCTTCAAATAGGTTTTCTATTCCTTGTTCACTTTCTTCTCCTTCTGGTACTTCTATGATGTTGTTACGTGTCATGTTGTCTCAAATTTCCCAAAACTATCCTCATTTATTTTAAATTCTTTTTTGTTGTTGTTGCTCTGCTTGGGTGTTTTTTCCTGACATATCTTTCAAATTGCTGATTCAGTCCTCAGCTTCATCCAGCCTACTTTTAATTCCTTTCCATTCTTGATGTCATATATGGTATTCTTTATTATTTTTTATTTTATTTATTTTGTTACAGATGTTTTTCCTTTAAAAAAATTTTTTTCTTTATTGATTTTAGAGAGAGAGGAAGGGAGAGGGAGAGAGAGATAGAAACATCAGTGAGCGAGCACATCGATTAGTTGCCTCCTGCATGCCCCCCACTGGGGATTGGCCCACAACCGGGGCATGTGCCCTCACTGGGAATCAAACCATGACGTCTTGGTGCAAGGGTTGATGCTCAACCACTGAGCCACACCTGCCGGGCCAGATGTTTCTCCTTTTTCCCCCATTGACACCCTCCTCCTGATCTTGCCCCACCCCCAGCATTGTTGTCTATATCCATTGGTTATGCATATATGCTTATAAGTTCTTTGGTTTATCTCTTCCCTCCTTCTTGCCCCCCTCCTCTGAGGTTTGTCAGTCTGAACCCTACTTCTGTGTCTCTGGGTTTATTTTGTTCATTATGTTCCACAAATAAGTGAGGTCATGTGATATTTGTCTTTCTTTGATTGGCTTATTTAATTTAGCATAATACTCCCCAGGTCCCTCTATGTCATCTCAAGGGATAAGAGATCTTTCTTTTTTATAGCTGCATAGTATTCCATTTATATGTACCACAGCTTTTTTAATCCACTCATCTATTGATGGTCACTTGGGCTGTTTCCAGATCTTAGCAATTATAAATAGTACTGCTGTGAACACCGGAGTACATAAATTCTTTCTGGTTGATGTTTCAGGCTTCTTAGGATATGTTCCTAGAAGTGGCATCACTGAGTCAAATAGCCATTGAATTTTTAATTTTTTGAGGAAACACCATATTGTTTTCCATAGTGGCTGCACCAGTCGGATTCCCACCAGCAGTGTACTAGAGTTTCTTTTTCTTCACACTCACCAGCACTTATTTGATGATTTGTTGTTGGCAACTATTCTGGTAGGTGTGAGGCGATAATATGCTATTTTTTATTTTCATCTGGTTCTTATTCAGGATTTCTGTGCCCTTTTAAATACTGATGTAGTTTCCATGAAGTTCCTTGTAGTTCCTATTAAGTTCCTTGTAGTTCTCACTGAGTTCCTTGAGCATCCATTACACTGAACTCTACATCTGATAAATTGCTTGTCTCCATTTCATTTTGCTCTTTTTCTGGAGATTCCTTCTTTCCTTTGGGAGTTGTTTCTTTGTCTACCTTTTTTAGCTGTTTCTTTGTGTTTGTTTCTATGTATTAGTCAGAACTTCAATGACTCCCAGGTGGACTTATGTAGTAAGTGTTCTGTGGGATCCAATGATGTAATCTCTTGTGTATCCTTAGCTGGATTGCTCTAGGAATGTCCCTTTTTGTAGGTTATTTGGGCTCTGCTGTTATAATTGGGTTTTGATTGTTTTTGTCACCTTTGTGGGTGGGATCTCCCCTAGGCTGACTGTGAGGCTCAGCCCTGACCACATCATGTCAGCTATTGTATAGGTGCAGTCTTTTTTAAAAAAATTTTTTTCTAGCCCTGGCCGGTTTGGCTCAGCGGTTAGAGCGTCAACCTGTGGTCCTGAGAGACCCGGGTTCGGTTCCCGCTAAGGGCGCGTACCTCGGTTGCAGTTTGTCCCCGGCCCTGGTCGGTCGTGCAGGTGGCAGCCACTCGATGTGTTCCTTTCACATTGATGTTTCTCTCTGTCTCTCTGTTTCTCTCTCTCCCTCCCACTCTACCTGAACAAAAAAAATGGGAAAATGTCCTCGGGTGAGGATTAAAAAAAAAAAAAATTATTTTTTCTTTATTGATGTTAGAGAGAGAGGGAGGATGAGGGAGAGAGAGAGAGGAACATCGATTGGCCGCCTCTTGCGTGCCCCCCACTGGGGATCAGGCCCACAACCTGGGCATATGCCCTGACCAGGAATCAAACTGGTGATCTCTTGGTGCATGGGTTGATGCTCAACCACTGAGCCATACCAGCTGGTTATAGGTGCATTCTTGAGGTGTTTTTTGCCCTTCCTTGTTTTAAAGTCTCCACTTCAGCTAGTCTTCAGTTGACTAATTCAGGGTTATTGTTTTCCAATGTAGTTTTATTTCCCATTTGGTTCTGGTAAGAGGTTCAAAAAATATCCACCTACTTTGCTGCCATCTTGAAAAAACTATATGCTCTTGATAAAAGTATCAGTTAGGTTAGATAATCAGAAAAGGTTTGATACATTCTTTTTGGAATTGAATAAGTTCTGGAAAAATATATGGAATTTGCTTTGAATTCTTTGACCTGGCTGTCATACTATATTGCATGCTATACTTTAAGACTGCTGCCACGCGATATCTGCTAGGAATTGAAATGTAATCCTGATTTTTTATCCTAAGTGTCAACAAGGAATCCTCAAACAGTGGAAATCCTAAACTCCATAAACAAGATGTACCAACTTGGAAACCTATGATTTTAACTGGGCCGGGCCAAGGAGAAGTAAGTATGGAATTTTGTTTATCTTTATTCTATGCGAAATTTTGGAAATTATTATCCTTGTAGATATAGCATCTCATCTACCCATTTACTCCAAAGAGTTTATAGAGAAAGAAGCTATGAGTTATACTTAGGGAGGTATACATCAGGCAGGTAATGGTGCTTACAAACCCATATTACAGTTACAAAAAAGAAGTTGCTAAGAAAAAGCAGGCAATTTATGCAGTGATATTTGTGACTTATTATGGCAGTGAAAGATGATTTTTTTTGGCTGTGGAGAACAATGTAGGTTTAGCTTTCATTCTCATCCTTTGTCCAGAGTAATGTATGTGGATTGCTTTTGGTTATCTCTGTCACTTCTAGTAGAAAGTGCATGGTGGGGTGGAGGGATGTTTCAAGAAATTGATGAGCTCTGGTATCTTTCATTGGTATCATCTCAAAAAGAAAACAAAACATTGTTGTGTTATTTGTTTTATCATTTGGTCAAGCAGGTTGCCAGACCGGCCCATAAAAAGAAAGCTCGAATGGCGCGGACGCGCTCCGATTTCTTGACTAGAGGTACTTTTGCTGATGGGGAGGGGGATACAGAGGAAGATGATTACGATGACATTGAGCCCCTTCTCTCCCTTGACCAACCTTCTCACTCTGAGGTAGGGCTGGCACCCAGTCTGGGTGAGGCCTCTCACAGTGACTCCGAAATGGTAATTTTATAGCAACAAGCAAATCTGATGGGAATCATCTTTGCTAATCTAAAGCTAACCTTCACAGCTTCTTTCCTTTATATTGGTTTGTACATGGGAAACCTCAGTGAACACAGCAAAAAACTAATCTTTAATTTAATAGGCTAAGATAAAGGGCAGTTTAGCAGTTTGTGTCAAATTATAAATTAGGCAACATTAAGGTTAACTTGGGACTAATATAGAAATTTTCTGTTATGTCTTGAAAGGTCTAGAATGCACCCTCAAATATTTTTTTACAAAGGGACAAATGGTAAACATTTTAGACTTTGTGGGTCATACAGTCTCTGTTGCAACTACTTAACGCTGCTACCACAGAGTGAAAATAGCCATAAAAATGTTAACAAATGGACATGGCTGTGTTCCAATAAAACTATTTACAAAAAACAGCAATGGGCTGTATTTGACCTGTTGAACATAGATCCGTCTCTGGTCTAGTGATGAGGGTATGTGTTAAATAATCCAATAGCTTTTAATTGAACATAATTCTGTTTTTTTGATTTTTTTGTTTTTTTGCCTTTAAAGTTGCTTCCCCTCCCTAATTTTTTAGTAATAAAAAACATGAATTTTTAAAAATTTAATTTAATGAGCAATGCCAAAAATGTCTCCCTAGACCAACCCATCCAAATAGAAAGTTTTGTATGTAATGTGAGTTTGTATTGATCACAAATTATAACGTTGGAGTTAGATTTGAATAAAGCTGCATTATTTTGACTAAGAATATAACTTTATCATCATATTTCAACTAAAATTAGGTATATATAGTTGGATAAGTATGAGTGTATTTATGGATATAAAGGGTTTGATTTGGGAATTGACCTGGAAAATATACAATATAAGGACCTCTCATATGTCTGATATTTATTAAAACATTATCATTGATAAAGTGGAGTGATATGCAGATTATTTCTATGCATATCCTTAATTAAGTTGGATCTTGTTCTTTTTTATGGGAGGAAAATTTTAGATTGGTCTTCTTTTGAGTCATTATATGCTTTATCTTTGAACTGTTTTAAGCTGTTTGTGCCAAAGATCTAGCTGATGAAAATATTTGCTAATTTCCAGAATATTCTTATTTTCTTTATCTTTTGTTGGAGATATACCCAGTTTTAAAATAACAATATTGATATTCAAAGAAAGAAAAACAACAACAGAATAATGCACTACCAATTCTCTAATTAGACAAATGATTCATTACACTGAGCCAAATTGTAGGATTGTAAAAGATGGGAACAATTTGTATGTCATTAATATGTATAATTAGAGCCAAAGCCCTCTCTTCAGGTATGATAAAATAACTCCATTTTGGAGGTGTCCTGTTTTTGAGTTATAAATAGCGACATATACTCTTATTATTAATTAAAGATGAAATTATGTAATGAAGAAGACTAATTTTAATGAAAGTACTGCATATATTTTATTTTATTTATTTTTCTACTCTGAATAGGGAGCATACTTAATTTATTCTCTAAAGCATAAATAAAATTTTCATTTGTGGAAAGACTTAGCATTTGTAATTATTGCTTTGTTCCTGAGAGTTTTCTTTGTTACAAACCTTAGTCCTTTTGGTGGTGGAAATTTTTCTCTCAGAAAACCCTACTGAGATGAACCAGGAAGTTGGGCTTTCTGCTTGGAGCATTCAACCCCTTTAAGGGTTCTGGCTGGTAGTCTCTGCCTGTGATTCTGTTCACCTGCTTGACAGTCACTGCATGCTAGTAGTTGTAGAACACCCTCTGCAGTATGTTAGTCACCTGTCTAGCTTTCTCACTGCCCTTCTTTTCATCACTAGCTATTTTAGGAACAGATGGTGGTGGTTGTTTCTGGTGGATACCTGCATGAAGAAGCTTTGCTTTATAGAATATGCTGATAGATACTTAGTAGGGTTTGGGGTGGAAAGGGTAGGGACAGTTTTAAAATGTTTATCTTGAAAATATGCCATTTTCTAATGTTATCTGATATTGTGAAGATGAAAACTAATTGTTTCTAAGTGTAATCTGCTGAATTGTTAAAATTGAGGTATCTTCAGGATTTTAAATGGCTGATTTTATGCACATATGGATTTTAAAAAACAGAATAGTTTTGTGGTTTTTTTTTTATTTGTTTGTTTGTTTTTTCCTAGATAAAATGATCCCATTACTGACTTTTGCTAAGAAGTGTGTCATTCGGTCTTAGAAGAAGCCATCTATCCTTTCCAATTGTGAAATATCTAATGTAATAAAGACAGTTGTAAATGAGTTAGTTACATGAAGGGAATTTGATAAGCGTTCCCTACTGAGTTGATGAAATTGTTCATCAGTTGTTAACCAGCTGTGGAGGAGTGGAGTCAAGAGTAGTAGTTTCCCTTCTTAAGACTTCGGTGTTTTTGTTTTAAATTTTTTGCTTTTAACTCTGCCATTTGAATAACTGTTTAGTCTCTGTATGCTGCTCTCACTCAGTTCTTATACCCACTATGTTGGCTTTTACCCAAGAAAAATGACACATTCTACTAAGCAGTATTTTTAAGGTGGCTTTTATATAGTATTTTAATCTCTCAATCTTCTGAATGGTGAGTTAGTAAAATAATTTCTATCCCTTATTTATAGGATTGGTATAAGTAACATTACGTTTTCTCTGTATAGTTTCTTCTACCATTCCCCAGAGTTAAGCCAATTATTTCAATGAATATCACTCCTAAATAGCACTCCAGAATTTGTCTTCTTTATTTCCAGTATGTAAAAATTAATTTCTCATACCCCTCCCCCCCAAAACGGCTGTCACTTCTTATATTCCCATTTATTCTCTGAGATCCCCTCCAATCCTTATCTGTGTTGAATTTTTCCTTCTTTCCACTGTCCAGTACCCCCAAACTGCTAGAAATACCTGTTGATTAAGTATGGCTATGTTTATTAACTTATTTTATGGTAAGTGAAAATCAGTCTTGACTGGGTCTTAGTAATTTCTCAGAAATGGAAAGTCAAGAGAGGATAGGTATAGTATTTTAGGGTCTAGCCTAGTGATTTTGAGGTGGTCCTAAAAGTTGGAAAACTGGTTGGTAATAAACAAAGTTTATGATGTAAGAGGTTTGGTTTGGTGACCCCCCAGACAACAGCCACTCTGTTGAATACACTTAGTATTTATATGTGTATTTTATTGGCTCCAAAAAGTTAGGGATATTTTATAGCATTGTGACTCTCTGCTTTTTGAAGATTTCATAGAATTTCCCTATGAAGCCATCTGGGGCTGGTACTTTTTTATGGCATAATTCCTTCATAAGTTCCTCTGTTTCTTCTAGTGAAATTAGTCTAAAAGCTTTCTTACCTAATGGGGTTAATTTTGGTAAATAGCTTTTTCTTATGAAATTATCCATTTCATCTAACTTTTTAGATTTATTTGCATAAAAGTTTGGAAAGTAAGTAGTCTCTTATAATTTTTAAAAATTCTTTGTTACAGTGGTTATTTCCCTTTTGTAATTTCTTGTTTTGTAGATTTGTGTTTTTTCCTTTTAACAAGTCATTTGTCTGTTTTGTTCATTTTTTTCCAAAATAACATGATTTTGATTTGTTTATTATACTTGTTTCCCTCCCTCCCCCATTCTCTAGTGATTTCTGTTTTTGCCTTTATCATTTATCTCTTTGTGTTTTCTTTTGGTTTACTTTCTTACTTTTCTAGCTTTTAAGTTGGGGATTGTAATTACTTATTTAATTTATTTTTATTCTTACAAGTTTTTTTATTTTTTTTAATGTTTTCATCGATTTTTTTAGAGAGAGAGGTAGGGAGAGAGAGATAGAAACATCGATGTGAGAGAGCTACATCAATCAGCTGCCTCTTGCATGTCCCTCACTGAGGATCTAGCCTGAAACCCATGTATGTGCCCTCACCAGGAATTGAACCGAGACCAGTGCATGGGACAACGCTCAATCCACTGAGCCACACTGGCAGGGCTATTGATACAAGTTTTAAGGTTACAAATTCTCTGATCATTGCTTTAGATTTATCTTATTTATTCTAATGTGCAAAATGTTTTTAGAAAAATGTAAATTTAGTTTATATTATTTTTTTACTAAAACTTGTGTAATAAATTTTTTTTTACTTTTCAGAAGAGCCCTTTTGTTTTATATTTTTTGTTAGTTGCTAGTTTTATTATATTATGATCAAAGAATATTTATAATGTGTCTGTTTGATCAAATTTACCAGTATTTTTTTTACTTAATATGTGATCAATTTTTGTATGTCATGTGCATTTGATAAGATGTATTTTGTTTACAATGTAAAATTTCAGTACAGATCTATAATCTCTACCTTATTGGTTATGTTGTCTTCTATATATTTATCTTTTGTACACTTACTCTGTCTTATATATGGAGAATGTTGTGTTAAAATCTATTGTTCATTGTGAATGGTGGCTTTTGTCACATTCAGTACCTTTTGCTTGAATTCTACTCAATAATAATATCACAGCCTCTGTTTTCTTATCATTTCTATTTGCCTAGAATACTTTTGGTCATCCTCTTGTTTGTAGCAATTCTTTTTGTTTTAGATATCTGTTTTCTACACAGTATAGTTTGGTCCTGTAAACCAAATAAAATTTCTTCCCCTAGTAGACGAGTTAAATCTATTTATATTTATTAATATAACTGATAATTCAATCTATTATAATCAGGTTATTATAATTTTAGATTGTGCTATATTTAATTTTCTGTGTTTATGTTACAGGTTTTCTTTGCTCTTTTATTTATTTCAATTTATTTTGATATTTAGGGAGGGTTGTTCTATTGGTTGTTTACCTTTGTATATAAATTTAAAAAATGTCTTTACTACTTTTAACAAATTATTCTTGAGTCATTTTTTGATGAATAATATTCTTTAATTCTCATCTACTGTGATCTAACTATTAATCCGTTATTCTATTCACTACTTTTCCTCTCTCTTCTACTCTTGTTTTTTAGGTTTCTACTTTGTCAGAACGTGTGATTTTTCATATTATTCTTTTACCCTAGTCCTCACCCTTGTTTTTTTCTTTTTTAGATCTACTATTAAATATATTGAATGATCACATTAAATATTTTGCTAAAGTTTCCCTATTTATCTCTTGGTTAGATGAAATTCTTTCCCTTGTAAATTACTATTGAAGGACTCATAGATATGGAATTCCTAGAGTTCTTTTTGAAGGCTTGATATTTGAAGGGACATCTTGGCCAAATATAAAATCCTTGATTCATACTTTCTTTCCCTGAGTTTTTTGAAAATGCTGATTTACTGTTTAATTGCTTTATTTGTTATTTTTGGTAATTCTATTGCCAGTCTAATTTTCTTGCTCTTATAAGTTATTTGATATTTTTCCTTCGTGGCTTTCAGAATTTTTTCTTTATATTTTAAATGTAGGATACATCTTCAAGTTGATCGTTACAGATTAATTATTCCATAGACCTGCAGGACTCTGTCAATATGTAAATTCTGGTCTTGCTTATTTTTTAAAAGTTTTAATGGATTATTGCTTTAAATTTTATTAATGTTCCGTTGTTTTGTTTTTCTTGTTTAGGGACTTCAATTATAAATAAATGTTTTTCTTACTTTCCTGACTTCCAATTTTAGACACCTTCTCTCTGGCCCTTTTTTTCTTATTTCTTTATATTTATAATTTTATATTCTTTATCTTCCTGCCTTTGTTTAGTCCTTTTTAAATTTCCATTTGTACATTTTTCCCATAGGCATCTTATAAGTTAGTCTTCATTTTACTATCTTTTTATTTCTTTTCTGAGTCCATTCAACTTTTTTTTTTTTTCTCATTTCTTTCTGGTGTTTCATATATCTGAAGATATTTAATTCATTTTTTAGTTACAGTTTTCGGATAGTTCATAAGACCAAGTTCAACAGTTTTCTCTTCTGCCAGTGTAGCCAAGTTCAGTTTCTTTCACAGACAGCCTGTTTTAGGTTTGTTTCTTTGTTTTTGTGCTGGTGGAGCCATTGTTGTGTCTGCCATTATTTTTCTTCTCTTTTGTATTGCTGGATTCTAAATATTTTCCTTTTGTTACTTTTCCTCTTCACTGTCCAATCTCAAAAAGGCACTCCTTCCTTCATTTTTTTTTTTGAACAGGTTTTATTACACACAGAGGGGATGAAGCTCTTTCCTTCTTGGCTGCTGCCTTCCTCGTGGCTACAAGGTTATTGCTCAGCTCCTCTCTCTTCCTCTTGGCATGGATGTGTGCTCCCTCCCTTTTCTTGATGAACTTTGGGGCCCTCTTGTTCTTAGAGACCTTGAGCAGCTCCATGGCATGCCACACATAGGGGGCAAAGCCACACACCTCTTAGATCGTGTCCCACATGAACTTGGTGTGCTTAGTGAGGAATCCACGGTAGTGGCTATGCCTCAACTTGCTCACATTCTTGGTGTGGCCCTTATTGAGACCCACAGCTATGGGCTAGTGCAGAGCCTTGGCTGCTGCTCCTCAATGGCTGCCCACCTGCCTTCCTTTTAATCTTCTTTTACCTCAGAAGCATTACCTCTAAATATATGGCACCTTGAATTACATGCCATTTTATGTTCTTTCTCTTTGGTCAGTTCTGTAATTACCAGTACTCTTTAACATTTGTTAGTTTTGAGTCATTATAGATGGATTGATTTTTTTTTCTCCTCGTTCTCAATGTATATTCTTATTCGCATACCTAGTTATTTCTTACTGGATGCCTGACTTGGCAAAGTTTGCCTTGTTGGATATTTTTATTTGATTAATATTCTTGAGCCTGTTATATTCCAGCATATTCCAAAGCTTTGTTCTGGAAACAACTTGATCCTTTTAGGTTTTTCTTTTAATATTTGTTAGGCTCACTGTATTGAATACTAGAAACGTGCTGACAGAATAGATTTCAGGCGCTCTCGTCAAAGAAAAAATAAAGTAACTGTGTGATGAGATATGTTAACTTGACTGTAGTAATTTTACTGTTTATATGTATGTAAAATTGTGTCTTACATCTTAAACATATCCAAATTTTATTAAATAAAATAAAGATTTCTTAGGCTCAAACAGAGCAGTACTTAGTCTAGACTATTGGCGCATTGTTCTTGACTACTGAAGCAGGATTCTCAGTGTTCTTTACCCAGTGCCCTGGGAATCATAAAGTTGTGAACTCTGACTCTTGGGCACAGGCACTGTTACTGGCTTTTTATGAGTGCTGAACACTGTTACCTTTTATCTTTTCAGGTGGCCCTTTTCCTGGTCTTGGGGAGTTGTCTGACACAAGTGTTGATTAGGACTCAGCTAAAATACTCAGTGTGGAAACTCTGAAGATCTTCAGAGTTCTTTCTTTGTGCATCTTTCTTCTCTTTAGGACTCTGTCTTTTGGATTTCTCATACCTTTGTCCCTCTGGACTTTCAGCTTTATGTGTTCAACTCAGAGAGTCTGCCAAGGTTCACCTGGATTGTCTCTCTCTTTCACAGCCTGGAAACTGTCTCAAGTCACTAAGTTGGGCAGTTATAGGACTCGCTTCCATTGTTTCTCATCTCTCAGGGATAACTGTCCATCATCTTGAGAACTGCTTCATGTTATTTTGTATGGGTTTTGTTTTTTGGTTGTTTCAGGCAAGAGGACAAAATTGGTCCCTGTTACTCCATCTTTGCCGGAAGCAGAAGTTTGTTCTTTAAATTTTAGCAACTCAGGATAGTTTCTGTTGATAAGGCCATAGCCAAGCAGACCAGAAGGCTAATGGAAAGATATTATAACTGTAGAAAAATGAAATATTAGGAAATGACTTTCAAATAGGTAACAAGAAATTCTCTCTTTCAAATGGGATTGTCTTTAAAAGGGCATATTATCAACAAATGGAACAGGAATTGCCCATTGAAATTCAGGTCCCAGTTTGATAGCCATGTAAGTTGTTTATAATTTAGACTGTTAGTAGTGGTAATGATTTTTTATCGCCTTGTCCTTATCTTTCTGTGTAGTGCTCTTTCAAATCCTTTACTGGATATAATAAGAATCTATAATAACAAGTTAATAATAATAATAAATAACAATAAAAAATAATAATAAATAATAATAAATAACAAGTTAAGCCATAAAAATAAGGAGCTATGAAAGACTGTGCTTAACATTCTATATTTATTAGATCCTGGATCTTTTGTTTCTATCTTTAGATGGTTTTGACGTTTTTTCTTACCTTTCCAATTTATATTCTTTGTTAAACTGTCAGAAAACATGAGCTGGTAGGTCCTATTTAGCATTTTAATTGACCCAAGTTCTGTTTACTTCCAGTTACTCTAGGCAGGTAATAGAGTTTTTAGTAGGTTCTCTGAATAATATTAATGTATTTTTGTATGTTTTTAATAGGTGTGATTCTCAAAAAATTCTATAACCTTAATTTTAATTACAGTGCTATGATATATTACTTGGTTTTAAAGTCTTTCACATATATAATCATTGCAGACATCACAACGGTTTTCTTCAGTTGATGAAGAAACAAAGCTTCATAAGACTATGTCTCAAGGAGAGATTACGAAGTTGGCAGTGAGACAGAAGGCTTCGGATTCAGATATAAGGTATAAAGTATATGCTGAAAGTTAATAGGGATAATATAATTTTATTTTCTAATGGACTATAATTAAATACCGAGCTTCTTTTCAAAAGCATGAGACAGAGCAGTTAGTTTTGAAATTCAGATATTTTCAACAAGTATTAAGTACCTACTGTGTGACAGGCACATAATAGTTCAGATGTATAAAATAAAGTTTATCTTTCTAAGTGTGATTTGAGCAAAGTCTTTTTTTTTTCTTCATTGTTGATTTTAGAGAGAGAGAAGGGAGAGGGAGAAAGAGATAGAAACATCGATGAGAGAGAACATCAGTTGGCCACCTCTCCTGCATGACCCCACCAGGGATGTGGCACACAAACTGGGCATGTGCCCTAACCAGAAATTGAACCGGTGACCTCTTGGTGCATGGGTCAATGTTCAGTCATTGAGCCATACCGGACGGGCTGAGCAAAGTCTTTAAATCATTATATGACTTGTGATTTTTTGTTGTTGTTGTTGTGAAAGGGGAGATTAGATCAGATGAGATTGAAAATAATTTTCAGTTTTAGATTTAGATTTTATTCTGAGTTAAGTGTTTTACAAATGGAACTGGAACAATCTTTTGGGAAATAATTCTTTTCTATTTAAGAGAGTATGTAAAATTTTTGTCAAATAAATATATTTGAGATGTGGAGAAAAGGGAACCCTAGCACACTGTTGGTGCAAATGCAGATTGGTGTAATCACTATGGAAAACAGTGTGGAGGTTCCTCAAAAAATTAAGGATGGAAATGTCTTATGACCCAGTGATTTCACTTCTGAGAATATATATGAAGAAACTTGAAGCAATAATTTGAAAGAACACATGCACCCTTATCTTCACTGCAGCGTTATTTACAATAGGAAAGATATGGAAGCAACCCAAGTGCCCATCAATAGATGAGTGGATAAAAAATTGTGATACTTTTATGTAATGGAAGACTAGTTGGCTGTAAAAAGGAATGGAATCTTTTTTTTTTTCCTCACCCGAGGATATTTTTCCATTTTTTGTACAGATAGAGTGGGAGGGAGAGAGAGAGCGAGAAACATCGATGTGAAGAGACACATCGAGTGGCTGCCACCCGCACGACCAACCAGGGCCGGGGACAAACTGCAACCGAAGTACGTGCCCTTAGCGGGAACTGAACCCGGGTCTCTCCGGACCACAGGCCGACACTCTAACCGCTGAGCCAAACCGGCCAGGGCAAGGAATGGAATCTTTTTTTTTTTCCTCACCCGAGGACATTTTTCCATTTTTTGTTCAGATAGAGTGGGAGGGAGAGAGAGAGAGAAACATCAATGTGAAGGGACACATCGAGTGGCTGCCACCCGCACAACCGACCAGGGCCCGGGACAAACCGCAACCGAGGTACGCGCCCTTAGCGGGAACTGAACCCGGGTCTCTCAGGACCGCAGGCCGACGCTCCAACCGCTGAGCCAAACCGGCCAGGGCAGGAATGGAATCTTACATTTTGTGACAGCATGGGTATTATGCTAAATGAAATAAGCCAGTCAGAGAAGGACAAATACCATATGATTTCACTTATATGTGGAATCTAATGAACAAAGTAAACAATAAACAAAATAGAAACAGACTCATAGATACAGAGAATAGACTGACACCTGTCAGAGGGGAGGGAGATGCGTAGACTATGTGAAAAAGATGAAGAGATTGAGAAGTAGAAATTGGTAGTTAGAAAATAGTAATGGGGATATGAAGCACAACATTGGAAGTACAGTCAGTAATATTGTAATATCTATGTATGGTGCCAGGTGGGTGCTTGGGGCATCAGGCAGATCGCTCTATAGCGTATGTGATTTCCTGGCCACTTTGCTGTACATCTGAAGCTACTGCAGAATAATATTGGGTATGGACTGTGGTTGGGGAAAAAAACGAAGAGAAAAATTAAAATAAATACAGCAAGTTCACAATAAAAAATAAAAAATAACCCACAATTTTATAGTATTTCAGTTGAGGAGGATGAAATCGTTACAGGTACAGAGAACTTTTAAAATAATTTTATATTTATTTTTAATAATGAGCTTGAAGTACAAATGAAGTTGATCTATTTCAAGAAAAATGTATATTATCAAAACTGACTCTAGAAAATATTTAAAGAAAAATTAAGCAGACTAAATAAATAAATAAATATCTTTGTTCCTTATTGTGTTATATAAGGCAGTCAGGCCCTCATTGAACACTTGACGATCACATTGAAATCTGTCTGGTTCATAACCCTATTCAATAGCTGTAGTCATTCCTTAATGACTGTAGAGGCATAATCCAAGGTAACCCAAATCCAGAGCAGCTTGTCCTGGAGATAAATTTTGGCAAACTAGAAAGAACATAATAGCTGGAGATAGCAGATTAACTATACAAATTTAATTTCCACTTTTTCCTCCAAAATTGCTAAAATGACAAAATCTGGCTGGCTGGTGTGGCTCAGTGTTTGAGCATCAACCCATGCACCAGGAGGTCACTGGTTCGATTCCCAGTCAGGGCACATGCCCAGGTTGTGGGCCTGATCCCCAGTGAGGGGCATGCAGGAGGTGGCCAATCGATGTTCTCTCTCATCAATCTTTCTGTCTCTTTCTCTCTCTCTAAAATCAATAAAGGGGGAAAAAAAAAAAAAGAGTTCCTAGAGCTCTGCATTACTAGGGAAAATGTTTTAAAATAAATAAATAAAATAAAATGACAAAACCTGTACAGGACAAAAAACAAAAGCAACAGCAGCAAAACAACAGAAGACAACAATAATAAAACTCTAGTATCCAAAAATTAAATAGACCAATTTTAAATGCCTTAATAAGGGCAAGTTGAATCCTAAACTAACTGGGTAAAGCTGAGAAAGAAGCATAAGGTTGACTGTTCTTCCCCAATCCTAGAAGAAAATAGGAGAGTTATTCCCTGGAAAGGATAAAACAGAAGATTGCTGCACTTGGAGTTTGCCAGAGACTTTTGAAAACTGAGGTACATATATGGCACAAGGAATTTTGTGAATGTTTACATACTAAATGTTAGATTGTCCAGCTTTTTTTCTCGACTCACACATTTCCACATTTCACATACCCTCTAAGCAGGTGATTTAAGGAGTCTTTGTCACTTTTTTGTCTAGCCCACTAGGAAAGAACTAGAGATATTGGTATCAGTGGCTCTCCCTATAAAACAGACCAACCAGATAACACTATAAGGAAGAGCACAGTTGGGAAGCACCACAATGCACACTAGAGCTTCCAAACAACTTTTAAAAAAAAAATTATCCTATTTTTATTCACCACACATTTGAGGAAACATCTTATATGAAAGAGACTAAAACTAATGGGTAAAATACAACTTGGAAGAAAGAAAACGTGGGAGAAGGGGAGGAATTTAAGGCAGATTAGTATGACTGTAAACAGACCTGCATAAGTAAATATAACTACATCTATGAAACCAAACTGAGTGCGTGAAAGAGAAACATTCACAATAAAAAGAGCTTTTGAAAATTAAAAATATAATAGCATAAAGAAACAACTCAGAAGTGTTAGAAAAATGAGGCCATATCTCAGAAAGTTGAGCAAATTGACAAAGAGATGGAAGAGACAAGAAAAATAAGAAAATTATAGAAACTGTTCACCAGATCCAATGACCCACTGATGGGAACTCTAGAAAGACAGAACAAAGAAAATGGAGGGGGTGAAATTATTAACAAAGTAATTCAAATAAATTTTATAGAACTGAAGGACATGAATTTCTAGATAAAAGGGCCCAACATAATGGATAAAAGTAGACTCACAACCAAAAGACATGTCATTATAAAACAATATAGTGGAACCTCAGTTCTCGAACTTAATTAGTTCTGGAAAGCTGTTCAAGAAGCTATTTGTTCAGAAAGCAAATCATGTTTTTCCCATTAGAAATAATGTAAATTGAGTTAATTCAGTCCAGACCCCCAAATGATTCTGTATTTTAATTTTTCTTATATACAGTACATGTCTGTTTTACTGTCTAATCTATAAACAAACACTTTTCTTAAATTTATCAAACCACGCCCTACTAGCCTTAAACAAATCACTTTCAGCACTCTTTCCAGGGGTGTCTTTTAGGAAGTCATCATGTAGCATCTTTGCTTTTTTACATGTCATTGCCTCCAAGATGCTACCCTCAGCAAACTGCTTTTCATTTATCAGAATCAACAATAGTTTTTTGTTTTTTTTTAATTTTTTCTTTATTGATTTTAGAGAGAGAGGAAGGGAGAGAGAGATAGAAACATTGATGGGAGAGAACATCAATTGGCCACCTCCTGCATGCCCTCTAGTGGGGATTTGGCCCACAACTGAGCATGTGCCCTGAACCGGGGAATTGAACAGGTTACCTCTTGGTGCATGGGTCTATGCTCAACCAGTGAGCCACACCAGCTGGGCTCAACAATAGTTTTTCTATCTCTTTGATTGCCTGTGATAATTGTTTCTTTCACACCCTTAGCAACATTAACACTCTTGATGGCTTCTTTATGTTTAACTTTTATACTAATCTTCCATTTTGTCAGCAACAAAAGCAGAAAAAAAAAAATTCACAGCACAGATTTCTGAAATGTTAACAATGAGAGGTTTAGCAATAAAACTGACTCACATTCTCTCCTTTGCTTATTATCATACTGATATATCAGTGTGAAAGAGTTGTGAGGTTGAGAAACAGAGTTTTGTTCAACAAAGGAGGCTTTTTTTCCATGAACAACTTGGTCAAGAACCAAATTGTTTGAGATGAGAGAGGTTTGAGAAACAAGGTTTGATTGCAGGGACAAAACAATTTCCATTATGACAGTGAAAGTAGCTTTTCAAATGATAGTTTTACAGCAAACACTGAGGGAAACCATACCAGGTTGGAGCAGGTTAAAAAACTCTGGGGTGCTCGACCAGTGTGGCTCAGTGGTTGAGCATCGACCCATGCACCAAGAGATCACCCGTTCGATTCCTGGTCAGAGCACATGCCCAGGTTGTGAGCCAGATCCCCATTGAGGGGCATGCAGGAGGTAGCCAATCGAAGCTATCTCTCCCTTTCCCTTCTTCTCTCTAAAATCAATAAAGAAAAATTTTTTTTTTAGAAAGAAGGCTCTGGGAGAGATTTCAAGAACATGAGACTTGATGGAGTACCTACTATGTTTGAACATGTTGAAAGGAGATATGTACAAATGGGGAAACTGTGTAGAGAAAAGTAAGCAAGTGTAAAACAACATTTAACTCTAGAAAAAAAGATTATACAGGGTCCTACATGTCTTAGTTGTGAGTATTTCCATAATAAAAATAGTGAATATTAATTACTAAAAGGAAATACTGTATATTGGTCTAACTAAAATTACGATATGATTGGGGGCACATCTGTGTTTGTGGAGGGTGTAGAACAAAAGTGGTAGAACATGCTTAATCATTATGTGGTCACAGATATGATAGCAATGTAAGTATAGTAAATATTAAAAGACTCAGTTAAATTAATTCAAAAGGGTTGTCTCTAGGGAGCAGAAAAAAAGGAATGAGAATGGCAGACAGATGCTGTCATTTGAAATAAGCCTTGTAGAAAATTTCTTTTTATACCAAATGGACATATAAGTTTAGTAAGAAGCTTTCCAAAAAAAAGGACAATAGATCATGGGCTTCAAAACCAGATAGACCTCATTTTAACTTCCAGCTTCATCAGCTCTCTCAACCTCGTTTACTCATGTGTAAAGTAAGGATAATAATACCTATTTATCACAGTACATTTGACCCTTAAACAACATAGGTTTAAACTGCTTGGGTCCAATTCCACTCAGATTTTTTTTGCAATAAATACATACAATATTGTAGATATATTTTTTTCTCTTATGATTTTCTTTTTTTTTTTTTAATTCTCACCCAGGGACATTTTTCCATTTTTTGTTCAGATAGAGCGGGAGGGAGAGAGAGGAAGAGAGAGAGAGAGACAGACAGACATCGATGTGAAGGGACACATCGAGTGGCTGCCACCCGCACTACCAACCAGGGCCGGGGACAAACTGCAACCGAGGTACGTGCCCTTAGCGGGAACCGAACCCGGGTCTCTCTGTACCGCAGGCCGATGCTCCAACCGCTGAGTCAAACCGGCCAGGGCTCTTATGATTTTCTTAATAACATTTTTTCCCTCTAGCTTACTTTATTTTAAGACTATAGTATATAATACATTTAACATACAAAATATATGTTAATTGACTATTATTATATTAGTAAGGCTAGTGGTAGTTAAGTTTTTGGAGAGTCAGAAGTTATATGCGATTTTCAGTTGTACATGGATTGGTGCCCCAATGCCTGTGTTGTTCAAGGGTTAGCTGTAGTTGTGAAAATTAGGCATATTATGTATAATACCTGGCTTCTATTAGATATTCAGATATTTTTGTTTATTAACTCAGTGAACATATGAATGAACAAAGTAATGTACAGATAAGTCTCCTAGTATGAGGTTAGAATACCTGATAATGTAGTCATTAAATGTGAGCTGTTGTTACTATCTCAAGGTGTTGCCTTGATTTAGGTAATAAAAGAATATATAAGCACTAAGAATGAGGCAATATAGCATAGTAATTGTGATTTGCAACTTTGTTACTTGTTAGCTTGAGAAAGGTACCTACTGATTAAACTTTCAGTTTTTCTTCTGTAAAATGCTTAATTTAATAGTTTGAAGTAAACTGGTTGTAATAATTAAATAAAATAATCCTACACAAGCATTTATTACTGTGCCTGGAGCAAGATAACAACTCAAGTAAGTGGTGGCTTTTGTTAATAATATTGATGACTAATGAATATGAAAGAGTAATATTAAAACCTTTGTTGCATAATGGTAAGTGGAAAGATTTAAAATTGTATCTGTATCATGATTACAAAATGTGAAAATAGGTAGGCTTATTGATACAGACTTGAAGGAAATTATCCAAAAAAGTAAACTAACATGTTTTAGAATGATGGGATATCAGTGATTTCTTTAAAAGTATTTTCTTTCTTGTTAAGTTGTCTATACAATAAATCTAAGCTAGAAGGAAGACAAGAATGAAGACATACTAGTTTAAGAATTGGAAATCCTGAGTTGGAATCCTAGTTCCACTGCTTTGTAGCCATTTATTTGAGGGAATTATTTAATGTCTGGGTCTTATTGATGAAAATTAAATATGATTAAATTTATGTGTGACTGTTACATGAACTAAGGCACGTGAAAGGTTTTTGTAATATAGCTTAACATGGTATACAAATATTGTCACTGCGACGTGCTGATTTCCATTTTTACCTTTATTTATTTTTATTTTTTCTAAATAGACCTCAGAGAGCTAGGATGAGATTCTGGGCCAAAGGGAAACAAGGGGAGAAGAAGACTACCAGAGTGAAACCTGCCACCCAGTCGGAGGTTTCATCACTCATTGCTGGCTCAGATATGATTCCAGTTCATCAGTTTCCTGATGGTAAAAATGGACAAAGGGTGGAGATTGTCTTCGTGATTCCTATTTACTCTTTCTGAAAGTTTGTTATTGCTCTAGTATTCATAGTGGCAATCCTGTTGGCTAGATATTCTAATGAGATAGGACCAGGATTATTAAAATCTTCCCTAACTAAAAGATAGTTATAAAAATACATTGTACTTATAATAGAAAATCCAAGGAAATGTGGCACAAAACAGCGAAGCAACAACTACTTTAAGAATGGTTGACTCTTTGGTTAACCCATTTTTTCAAAGTGTTAAAATTTAGCCATCAAACACTCAAAGATAAATAGGTATTATTAGTAAAAATAAGATAATACCAGCTAATATTTGAGTGCTTACTACATACAAAGCATTGTACTAAGCATGTATGCATTAAATTGGTTGATCTTCACTGCTTTTTGAGGTATTATTATTTCCAGTTTATAGATAAGAAAACAGGCACAGAGAAATTTTTTGCTTATACACATATAGTAATTGGCAAAGCTGAGATTTTTAAAAATATGTTTTTATTGATTTTTGGGAGAGAGAGACAGAAACATCCATGTGAGAGAGAAACAGATCCAGCTGCCTCCTGCACACCCCACACTGGGGATTGGGCCCACAACCCCTGCATGTACCCCAAACTGGGAATCAAACCAGGACTTCTTAGTCCATGGGACGGCACTCAATCCACTGAGCCACACTGGCTTGGTCAAAGCTGAGATTTGAATCCCGGTAGTCTAGCTCCAGAGTCCACATTCTTAACCACCATGCTACGTATTAAGTACCTACTATATGTCAGTACGTGGAACTTTATAATGGTAGCTGTTATTTTAACTTTTTGGGCATCAATTTGCCCTACTGGTTTTGCTCAGCGGTTGGAGCGTCAGCCCAAGGACCAGAGTGTCCCAGGTTCAGTCCCCACTAAGGGCACGTACCTCGGTTGCAGTTTGTCCCCCGCCCCGGTTGGGGTCTTATGGGTGGCAATCACTCAATGTGTTTCTCTCACATTTATGTTTCTCTCTCTCTTTTCCTCCTTCTCTCCCTCCCACTCTGTCTGAAGATAAATGCAAAAAAAAAAGTCCTCGGATGAGGATAAAAAAATAAAAATAAATAAATAAATAACTTTTGGGGCATTAATTATAACACATTTGAAAGTACCCAATCTTAGTTCATCTGTTGAACAATCTGACTTTTTTTTTCCTTTTTTTTTCTATTGATTTTAGAGACAGAGGAAGGGAAAGGGAGAGGGAGATAGAAACATTGATGAGAAAGAACATCGATTGGCCACCTCCTGCATGCCCCCCACTGGGGATTGGGCCCACAACCTGGGCATGTGCCCTGACCGGAAATTGAACCGGCGACCTCTTCGTCCATGGGTCAACGCTCAACCACTGAGCCACACTGGCCGTGCCAGTCTGACTTTTTAAAATACTAGAATAACTAACTCTCCAAAGATTTCAGTAATCCCACTATTAGAATAGCCCTCTTTTAATTATTATGTATAAAGATGTCAGCTATGTTCAGTAGGGATATACATCAGACATGGATGAGCATGTGGTAATGTATGTGAAATACCAGTGTGTGTGGGTAAAATACCAGTATTAAATTAAATGGAAGGAGGTGCTAGGAAGAAAGTTACTATCTCTTAAAGAAAGATACAACAGTCCTGACCAGTGTGGTTCAGTGGTTAGAGCATCAGCCCCCCACTGAAAGGTCTCAGGTTCGATTCCCTGTCAAGAGCATGTACCTATGTTGCAGGTTCGATCCCCTGCCCTGGTCAAGGCATGTGTGGGAGGCAACCAATCAGTGTACCTCTCTCACATCGATGTTTTTTCTCTCTCTCACCCTCCCTCCTACCCTTCCTTCCACTCCCTCTAAAAATCAGTGGAAAAAATATTCCTAGGTGAGGATTAAAAAAAAAAAGTTAAGATTGTAGCTTTTTAATTATCTTTAGGCAGAAACGTATTAAAGTAGCCCTTGTTTTTAATGATAAAAGAAGATTATGAAGAATTTATTATTTCTTTTATTATAAGAAAGATATTGACTTTGCTAAATTTAATACTTATATATCTAGGTTATTATAATTGAATTAAAATCATTTGATACTGCCCGGCTGGTGTGGCTCAGTGGTTAAGCTTTGACCCATGCATCAAAAGGTCACCGGTTCAATTCCCGGTCAGGGAACATGCCCAGGTTGTGGGCCCGATACCTAGTGGAGGGGCATGGAGAAGGTGGCCAATCTATGTTCTCTCTCATCAGTGTTTCTACTCTCTTTTCTTCCTTCCTCTCTCTCTAAAATCAATAAAGAAAAATATGTTTTTAAAAATCAGTTGATACCAATTTGAATATACTTGTATCTGATATATTTGTAATTTTTATTCTGGCATCGTATCTGAGATTGGGTTAGCCTGAGGTGGAAGTAAGCATTTAGGGGAGGCTACTATCTTTTTTTTTCAGTATCAGAATTAGCTTTTAGATGGGATGAGGCTATATCATTGGAGAGAGGGTAAGGTGAATACATATAAGGGGAAACAAGAAGATACCTGAAATGAGATGGGGCTAATATTCTCATGAAGTTCCAGGTAGGGTTTTAGCAAATTTAGTGTAGTTCTAGATTGTTATGAACATCACGGAATACAATTTCTCTGGTGTAAACAATTGTAGAGAAAATTTGTTGTTTTGTAATATTATATACAAAACCAGTTCATTCCAAGAATTCTCAGAAATTCAGACAATTATTTGGAATATATATAAAAAATTTCTAAATACAAAAGAGACTGAAGCAGAAGTGAGCCAGTTGTCACCTGGTTCCCTAAACAGGTTGCCAAGCTAAGTCGAGATATTATTACTGAAGCATTTATGGCTTTAGCTCTTAGTAAGGAAATAATTATCAACCTTCACTGGCTTGTTAGAGTTTTATATAGCTGGGTGTTCTTTCAAACAGATATAATAACACTGTGACTGGGTTAACAGCATTTAACATGCTAGTGTGACTTTTATACTCTTCTTTCTTTTCCTTGGGACTGAGGTCTCTGGGCTCCGGACGTCAGTACTATAAGACACTTCCATTTAGGTTTTCAGTACCAGACCTTAGGAAGACATAATAGTATTTTCTGTTGCTAAGTGGTAATTCTTAAATACGTTTTCTGTACAAATGTGCATTCTGGATTTATTGTTCAACTGCCTGGCCTCAAACATTAATATTACTTTGTTTCTCACATATTTACATGTGTTTCTTGCCCAAAGAAGTGACTTACTAGAGGAACTTACACTTAAAAAAGAAGAATGCAGAAATTTCAATATTTTTACTAAATTTCTTTTTTTTTTTTTTATTTACTATTCTATCTTGACTTGTAGAATTAGCTCAGTATCACCCAACACCTCCTTTGAGCCCAGAATTGCCTGGTAGTTGCCAGAAGGAGTTCAAAGAGAACAAAGAGCCCTCTCCAAAGGCAAAGCGCAAGAGAAGTGTGAAGATCAGCAGCGTGGCTTTGGAATCTATGCATTGGCAAAATGACTCTGTCCAGATCATAACAAGTGCCAGTGATTTAAAAAGTATGGATGAATTTCTGCTGAAAAAGGTACAGTTTTAATGCTGAGTTAGGCCCGTGAGCAGCTTACACTGTGGAATATTTGTATATATCAGGATATGGCCCCTAGGGATCAAGGTGACATGTGCTTCATTAATTAGATGATCTTTTCTTTGCCAGGAAGGTACAATTAATATAACATGCATTAGTCAGTCTGGATAAACAGAATTTAAGGTTTTAGGCTTTACTCTTGACTTTCATTTTACTGTAATTATCATGTTAAATATTCTGTATGTGAATGTGAGGCGTTCCTTGCATACTTGGGAGTTGTTTTTCTGGTAGAACTATAGAATCATAAATGTTAAGGGACATTAGAAATCATCTAGTAGCAATAAAATTCAGACTATTTAGTCGTGCTTTACCTGGGTCACATAATAGCAGTGGCTTGCATTTTCGGGGCAGTCATATGAGTCCACTATTGCATTCACTTCTTTTCAATTACTTGATTTTGTACAAAAACTCTTTCTGTGGTCCCCAGATGAATGACCTAGATAATGAAGACAGCAAGAAAGACACACTAGTGGATGTTGTATTTAAAAAAGCCCTGAAAGAATTCCGGCAGAATATCTTCAGCTTTTATTCATCTGCATTGGCGGTATGTTGGGCAGTGTTAGTATGTGTTTTGTAGATCAGCATATGAAAAATTTGTCAGTACTATAGAAGATATTACAGAGGCCATGTTCAACTAGAGATTCCTCAAGTTCCTTGTTTTGTTTTAGATATAGCTAGGGAAAAGCATGCTGACTGACTTTAGATTAGTAGCTTTCTCGAATTTCCTTGAGTAGTTCTCTTTTTCCCCCTTTGAGTATATTTTCATCTTCTTAAGATACTGAATTTAGATAATCTGGGTATAATTCTGTTTCACCCAGGGGCTCTTTACTATTTTGACTTTTCATAATCCTTTAGTTCTAGCTTGTAATTTTTATATGTGTGGAATTATTATGCAGTTTTTTCCAGTGGAATTAGAGCAGTTTTGTTCACTTATTTCTGTCAGTTTATATCACTTCCAGGTTTACTTTATACTTTCTTATGATATTGGTTATGTTTTAGAAAATTGATTTTTGATGCTCAGGTATGTAAACTTAATGCCAGATTTGTGGGAGAAAATCCCAGGACTTTTTCAAATTACTGCATTGTTAAAACTATTAGGTATTTTACTGAAACTTACAGGTTTTACTCAGATATTTCACAGTAGAGTGGGAATTTACATCTGTAAATACCACATGACTTCATGGGCATGCTCATTAGAAAGTATATCTGGTTCCTAATTTTTATTCTAAATACTACCCAATGCAAATTGAATCAGTCTTCTGTATTTAAAGAATTTCTTCCAAAAAGCTTAAAATTTTATTTTTTTAAATTTTTTAAAATTTCTTCTTTTATTGCTTATTAGATAGATGATGGGAAAAGCATACGGTATAAAGACCTCTATGCACTATTTGAGCAGATTCTGGAAAAGACCATGAGACTTGAGCAGCGTGATTGGAGAGAATCTCCAGTCAGAGTTTGGGTCAACACTTTTAAAGTGTTTTTAGATGAATATATGAATGAATTCAAGACTTTGGATTGTATACCCCCAAAGGTAAATATGATATATTTTGATTTTTAAAAGGATTCAGTTATTAACTCTGCTTAAGTGTCTGTTTGGGACATCTGGTATTTGAGAAAAACATTACAGTGAACATGTTCAGTCAATTCAGCATTACTTGAGATTTAACAAACTCCATTCTGTCTTATAAATTTATCAGACCATATTTTCTAAATAGTCTGCAATTAATACATTCTGCACTGAGGTAAAATATAATGTTGTGCCCTCAAGATTATATCCTCAGCATTGACAGAGGTCATAACATGAATTTTCTTTTGTAAAATAGTGTTTGAAGATGTGATTCACTGTATCATCTAGTGATCTTTATGTGAGGACCCACAAATTATATTTTTCCTTGAATTAGGTTTTAGGAAAAATGTGTATTTCAAGAAATCTATTATCTTTATTTTATTAAGTGCCAGGAATTGGACTAGGTATTTGATATTTTATTTAATTCTTGCTTCAGCCCTATTAAATAACTATTATGAAATCTGTGTTACAGAAGAGATAGGCTTAGATAAAGTTATCAATGTGTTTTCTTTTAGTACCCCAGCTGAAATAATTAGGTATCTAATGATTAGGTATTAGGAATACTATAAATACTTTTTTTAAATTTTTTTAAATTAATTAATTTTTTTATTTATTTTTTCTCACCTGAGGACATTTTTCCATTTTTTTGCTCAGATAGAGTGGGAGGGAGAGAGAGGAAGAGAGAGAGAGAGAGAGAGTGAGAGAGAGAGAGAAACATTGACATGAAAGGGACACATCGAGTGGCTGCCACCCGCACGACCAACCAGGGCCGGGGACAAACCGCAACCAAGGCACGCCCCCTTAGCAGGAACCGAACCTGGGTCTCTCTGGACCACAGGTCGACGCTCTAACTGCTGAGCCAAACCGGCCAGGGCTATTAATACTTTTTTATGTTCCATTTTATTTTCAGTTATTCTAGTTATATGTGTTTAGATTTATAAACTATCTTAATTCATTTTTGAAGTAGTCATATACAAATAAATCCTTAAAAGTTTTTTTGTTCTAGATCTAGGTTAAGGTCTTTATGTTATGCAGAAGAAGATTTTTACTAGGCTTACACTGCTTTTGTTTATAATTTTAAAAGGTTAAGATTGGATTGTTTTATACTAGAAAATAGTTATCAGGAAATATCATATGTAAAAGAGCTTTTTTATGTTCCAAATGATACCTTTTTACATTTAGCTCTGGGATAGTTTTCTAGAGCCAAAATAGGGAAAGAGCAGTCTTTAAAATTAGTAATCATTTAATTAATGAATAAAATAAAATCATCATTTAAATTTATATGGTGTGGTTTCTGGACAGAACTGAGGTTTAAAAAGAAAATAGTTCCTAAAGTATCCTTTCATTCTGTTGTTTTCACTAAACTTCAAAATTTCTCACATTTGTTTACTCTTTTACCTTTGAGCAAAAATCTCAGCATTTGCAAAGAAGTAAGAATATATGTTGGTTTTTCTTGTAGCACAGTTTTTGTATTTGTTTCCCACCAGGTGCCAAAAACAGAAAGAAAAAAAAGAAGGAAAAAAGAAACTGATTTAGTAAGTAGTAATTTTTTATGTTTTAAAAAAGTAATATTTAGACCAGTCTGAAGCATATCATACAGTATTTATGTGGATATATTTAAGGAATAAGTGTATCAGTTGCCTAAAGTGTAATCATTTATGGCTTTAAAATTTTTTTGAATGACATGTGACTTTATCTTTGTGATTTGACTTCTTATTAATTGTAACTTCTTAAAATGCCTGCCTTTTGACTGACAAAACTATGTGATGATAAATGGTTGTTGTTTTAAGCTGCTAAGTTTATGGTAATTTGTTACAGTAGCAGTAGAAAACATAGCTGTGCATAGAAATCTATTTTACAGCTGTTGTAATATTCCTTGCTGAACCATTGGTTGTTTCTAGTCTTGTGCTGTTACAAACAAGAATGGCACAGTCAATAACTGTGTCTGTGTATGTGTGTATGTATGTAAGTGTGAGTGGAGGAGGATTCTTAGAATTGGAATTACTGGGTCATAGGTAAAATGCATCTATTATTTTGATAAACATTGCTTCATTTTTCCATAGGGATATCTAATATTTCAGTTTCAACAGTAAGATATGAATGTGGGTTGTTACACTTTTATATTTTTGCCATGATAGATAATGGTCACATTTTTTTACAATTAAATTCTGATCTTAATGGAGTTTATCCTATTGTACAATATGAGAAACGAATCTAATTTTACCTCTTACCAAATCCAACATCATTTATTTAAAAGTCCATCTTTACCCATCTATTTGAGATGTCACCCTCTTTATATTCTAAAATTCCTCTTGGATCTTTTATAGTCTGTTCCATTAGTTGATATGAATATTTATACATTAATTCCATACTACTGTAATTACTGAACTTTTCTTATGTGTGATAATTAGCAAGGCTAAATCCTCCCTAATTACTTTTCTATTTTAGAATTTTTCTGGCTATTCTTACTTATTTTTCAGTATGAACTTTGAATTCACTTGTCTAGTTTGATGAGGCAAAAATCTATTAGTGCTTTTTTTTGCTTCCTTTATAAGCTAATATAGAACTGACATCTTTATAATTTTGAATCTTTGCAAATCTATTTTTGTGTTCTGTAGGAAGGGTTTTAAAATTTTACATATATAGGTTTTTGTTATTTCATGCTACATCTATTTCTGGGTATTTTATCTCATCAGAGAGAATCACTATAGTTAATAGTATGGTGTATAATAATATGGTGCACATTCTTCTATACTTTTTCTCTACTTATATAAACTCTTTAATCTGGTGGTTCTCAAAGTGTGATCTTCAGAGATTTCTGAGACACTTTCAGGGATTTTGCAAGATCAAAACTTTTCATAATAATAACATTATTTTTCTTCTTTACTGAGTAAACTCAAAAGCAATCATGGGTAAAATTGCTGACTACTTAGCACAAATCAAGTCAGTTGCTTCGAATGGGAAGGGGAAGTATGCAGTAGCTGCAAATGATGGTTGTCTCAAAAAAGGGTCACTTGTACAATTGAATTGTAAACTGATACAGCTCTTTTAAAAATTGTGACAAAATCCATATAGCAGAATTCACCATTTTAACCATTTAAAGTACAGTTTAGTGTGGTTAGTGTATAGTCATGTGCTGCATAAGGACATTTTATTCAATCACAAACTGCATATACAATGGTGGTTCCATAAGATTACAGCAGAGCTGAAAAATTCTGATTGCCTAGTGAGGTCAGAGTTTTCATAATGTCAGAACACAACTCTTGACTTGTGTTTGTTCTGATGCTGGTGTAAACAGATCTACTGTTCTGCCAGTTGTATAAAATACAGCACAAGCCCTGCTGGTGTGGCTCAGTGGTTGAGCATCGACCCATGCACCAAGAGGTTGCTGGTTCCATTGCTGGTCAGGGCACATGCCCAGGTTGTGGTCTCAGTACCTAATGGGGGGCATGCCAGAGATGGCCAGTTGATGTTCTCTCTCATTGATGTTTCTATCTCTCTTTCCTTCTACATTCCTCTCTCTAAAAGTCAATGAAGAAAATTTTTTTAAAAGTTACAACATACACAGTTGTGTATAGTACATAATACTTGATAATGATAATAAATGACTGTGTAACTGGTATACTATTTACTACACTATATATTTTTTTATCCTCACCCGAGGACATTTTTCGATATTTTGTTCAGATAGAGTGGGAGGGAGAGAGAGGGAGAAACATCGACGTGAAAGGGACACATCGAGTGGTTGCCCCCCACACGACCCAACCAGGGCCGGGGACAAACTGCAACCCAGGTATGTGCCCTTAGCGGGAACCGAACCTGGGTCTCTCCGGACTGTAGGCCGACGCTCTAACCGCTGAGCCAAACCGGCCAGGGCTACACTATATTTTTTATTTCTATTTTAGAGTATACACTCTCTACTCATTCAAAAATGTTGGCTGTAAAGCAACAGTATGATGTGCCTAATACATCTTGTGTTTACTGTGTCTCTTGATTGCATCATTTTATCTTGTGCTTGATTTAATCTGGGGTTGTTTTATAGATTTGGTGTAGCCTAAGTGTACAGTGTTTATAAAATCTACGGTGGTATATAGTAATGTCCTAGACCTTCACATTCACTCACTACTCACTCACTGGTTTACCCAGAGTAACATCCAGTCCAGCAAGCTCCATTCATGGTAAATGCCCTATACACTGGTACCATTTCTTACCTTTTATACTGTATTATTACTATACTTTTTCTATGTTTACATATGTTTGCACGCATAAATATTTAATATTATGTTACAGTTGCATACAGTACTCAGTACAGTAACATGCTGTATAGATTTGTAGCCTAGGACAGTAAGCTATACTGTATAGCCTATACATATAGTAGGCTATTCCATTTAGGTTTTCATAAGTGCATTCTGTGGTGTTCACACAGTGATAAAGTCACCTAATGATGCATCTCTCAGAATGTATCCCCATCTTAAGCAGCACATGATTGTATTCACTATGCTGGGTAACTATTACCACTAAGAAGTCACTCTTCATTCTGTCTTCCTTAATCTACTTTCTGTCTCTGTGAATTTGCCTATTATGGACATTTCATATACATTTTAAAAAATCATACAATATTGGCCTTTTTTGTCCATCTTTTTTCACTTAGCATATTGTTTTCAAGATTCATGTATGTTGTAGCATGTGTGGTACTTTTTATAGCCAAATTATACTCCTTTTCATAGCCAAATTATATTCTACTGTATAGATTATACTACATTTTCTTTATACATTCACCAGTTTATGGACTTTTGGGTTTTTACACTTTTTATCTAGTATGAGGAATGTTACTTATGAACATTTGTGTACAACATTTTATATCAACATGTGTCTGTAGCCACTTTTTTTTTTTTTAATAGAAATCACTTTTACTTTATTAATAAGCTCTACTTACTTAGACTTAGGTGTTTGGCAGACATTTTCTGAAAATGAACAAAGTGACTTTGTCACCTCAAAGAAAACACAACTCTATTATCAGTGGTAAAGTATAAGCTTTCAAACAAAAATTAGAATTGTAGAAAACTTTTATTTGCCACTATAAGTATAATAGGTTTCAAGTAAAGAATCTTATGATGAGATTGTTGATAATATGAAGTAACATGACTTTCTGATAGTGTGTAATAAAATGTGTCAACATTTGAAAGGGTTGCATAATTCCGTGAACCAGTATTCTCCAAATCACCAATCATAGTACTATAAAATCATGTATAGATAAAATGTCCATTTAAGGTGCAGGATAGACCAAAATGTTTTTTAAAAGAGTTTTGTTGAGGTAAATTTAATTACAATGTAATTTATCCCTTCTAACTGTACAGTTTAATGATTTTTAGTAAATGTGCACAGTTATAACCATTACCTCTATCCAATTTTAGAACATTTACATTACCCCAAGAAGATTTTTTTATGCCAATTTGTAGTCATTTCCCTTTACCATTCCCAGTTCCAGGCAAATAAGTAATCTTTTTTGTTTTTATATTTTAGCATTTTCTGGACATTTCCTGTAAATGGAATCATACTCTGTGTAGTCTTTTGTATATGGCTTCTTAGCATAATGTTTTTGATGTTCATTCAAGTTATGTATATCAGTAGTTTGGTGATTTTGGTGCTGAAAAATTCTATTGTGTGGATATATACCACATTTTATATATCCTTTTATCATTTGACAGGTATTTAGGTTGTTTTCACTTTTGCAGTATTGTGAATAATGCTGCTATGTGAATATTTGATTATAGATTTTTGTGTGAACATGTTTTCAGTTTTCTTGGGTATAAACCTAAGAATAGAATTTCTGGGTCATACAGTAAGTCTGTGTTGAATATTTTTTAAAATTGCTAAACTGTTTTTCAAGTGACTGTACCATTTTACAGTCCCAATTGCAATAGCTGAGGGTTTCAGTCTCTCCACATCCTCACCAACAGTTGTTGCTGTTTTTCGTTTTTGTTTTTAATTATAGCCATTCTAGTGAGTGTAAAGCAGTATCTCATTATGGTTTTAATTTTGAGCATCTTTTCATGTGCCTGTTGGCCATTTGTACTTTTTAAAATAAATCTTACTAGAGGATATTTTTTCATCTATCTTCAGAGTGGGAGGGGGGAGAGAGAGAGAAAAACATTGATGTGAGAGAGACACATCGACTGGTTGCCTCCTGCACAACCTCTACCAGGGCTGGGGACCGAACTGCAACCAAGGTACGTGCCCTTGACCAGAATCGAACCCATGACTCTTTGGTCCATGGGCCGATGCTCTAACCATTGAGCAATACTGGCCAGGGCCATTTGTACTTCTTTAATAAACTGCCCACTTTTTTTTTTTTTTTTTGGTTAATCTTCACTGGAGGATATTTTTCTGTTGATTTTTAGATATAATGGAAGGGAGGTAGGAGGAGGGAGAGAGAGAAAAACATTGATTGGTTGCCTCCTGCATCACCCTGACCAGGGCTAGGATCGAACCTGCAACCTAGGTGTGTGCCCTAGACTGGGAATCGAGCCTGGAACCCTTGGTCGTGGGCTGAAGCTCCAACCACTGAGCCAAACCAGCCAGCGTTATTTTGCCTACTTTTAAATTATCTTCTTACTTTTTAGTTGTAGCAGTTCATCTATTCTAGATAGTTCTTTATCAGATACATAATTTGCAAATTATCTGGAGCTTATCTTTATTTTCTTAATAGTAATTTGAAGTAAAAGTTAAAAATTTAATGAAGCCCGGAAAAATGCATTTTAATGTCACGGAGCATGAAGAGTTCATTGATGTGGTTTTGGTTCTATATTTCAATTAACCATTAAGGTATCATTTGTAGAGTTTTGATATAGTAGTATCTGAAAGGGCAATTGAATTATTCTTTTATTTGTATCAATCGTATAACTGTGTGAACCTGGATTTTCTTCATGTCTTTCAAACTAAACTGTATCTGACAACAGCTTGAATGAAATGGGGATATAAGAATCCAGGTGTCTTTTATTAAGTTAGACATTAAAGAGATCTACAAAAAGTTAAAACAATACCCTCTTGTAGTACCTTTTTGTTTATTTTAAATATATAGTTGTTTTTTATAAAAATGTTATTTATGTTAACATATAATATGTTTAGTGTTAATTTTAAATGAATTGGATAAATACTTAAAATAGTCTCAGTTGTAATTTTTAAGATAGTAAATATCAATAGGTATAACTTATAAAAACAGAAGTTATTTGAGGTCATCAGTAATTTTTTAAAGTGTAAAAGATTTCTGAGGTAAAAAATTAAAATTTGAGAACTGCTGCTTTTAATTTAACATGCTGATTAGACTCACTAAGACATCTCTTATGTGTTTGTAGCATTGCTTTCTGATATTCCTGTAAGTTGGTCTTATTTCTCTACTAAATTGTTAGGTTTTTGAAAGCAAGGAACACATATTTATTTCTTAGAAGATCATAATTTTCCTCCTGGAATAAGTGCTCAAAAAGACTTAACATAAGGGATTGAAGGATTTCCCATTAGCTGACCCAATTAGGGCAACATTTACTGTTGTCTTTAACATAAATACGTATATTTTTTCATTCAGGTGGAAGAACACAATGGTCACATCTTTAAGGCCACTCAATATAGCATTCCTACGTACTGTGAGTACTGTTCTTCTTTGATATGGATAATGGATCGAGCCTCTGTTTGCAAATGTAAGTATGAGAGATCTTTAGGGATTTTTTTAACTGCTTGACATTTTTATTTCCCTTAGGTTTCTTTTTTTTAAAGACCTCTTCTACTTTTTAAAAAAAATTATTTTTATTGATTTTAGAGGAAGGAGGAGAGAGAGAAAGAAACATTAATGTGAGAGATACACAGGCCCTTACCAGGAATCGAAGCCACCAACTTTTGGTGTAGGGAATGACACTCAACCAACTGAGCCACACCAGTCAGTTTTCTTATGTCTTCTTTAACTTAAAGGAAAAAGTCACACTTCCTAATTCTTCAGCCTCATCTCTCACTATTCTCTTTCACCTGCTCACAGTAGCCAAACTATATATTTTAATGTTCTTTGGTCACTACTTGCAGCTCACTCCACCTGAAATACTCTTCTTTCAGATGTTAGTAGGACTTACTATTTCAGTTAATTCATGTCTCTACTCAAATTTTACCTCTTAGAGAGCACTTTCCTTATTCTTCTACCTAAAATGCCACCCTGTCCCCTAATTCTCTGTCCCCTTACTCAGCTTTAAATGTTTTTATCACCACTCAGGGTTATATTAAGTATTCATTTGTTTTCTTGTTTGTTAGTTTGTCCCACTAGAATGTATGCTTTATCAGGTTGGGAAACTTATCTGTCCCTTCTATATCACCAGTGCCTAGAACAGTTCCAGTACATTTTAAGTTTTAATAAATATTTGTTAGGTAGATGGACCTATAAATGGATAGATTAATTAACTGAGTAACTAATTAGTTAACTAATTAACTAATGAATTCTTAGGACATAACCAAAAAGGTACTCTTTTTCTACTGGAATCCTTTCATCATAATATATAAATACTAGAATGTGAACAGACTTTTGTAAGTCAACTTGGTTCTGGCTTACAGAGGACCTTTTTCATTCCTGTCATTTCATGGATCTACTTTGGTGCTATCAGTAATTCTGTGAAGGTTTATTTACTAGTTGGCTAGAAGTGAATGAATTGGTAAGTGCTGGGTCTTGTATGGCAATAAGGATAAAAGTCATGTTCACCATAGCCAAATCACTGCTATTGCTCTATATGTTCACCTTTTTCAATGGTTTAACAATTGTTTCCTTTTGTTTTTTTATCAGTAGTTTAAAAAGCTATAGTGACTGTTTAATATAGTCTGATTCTTGTTGGTATAATTTTCTTTCTGATTTGAAACTGAAAATGTAAAGAATCTGCCTTTTTATGACTTGGGTGATGGGCTTGGTTTGATTTTTTAGTAGAATTACTAACTTTCTTTGTGACTATGCTGGTGATTTTACCAGCATAATGATGACCTTAATTGATCTTGGCCTTGAAAACGCTGCTATACTATAGAAGGGCAAGGATGTGGTGATATGCAGGCACTAGATCTTGTATAGCAAAATGACATGGGCCAAGTGTGTTCTCAGTATCCTTCTCTTACCGTGTCTCTTCCCAGCTGCCTAGATACCAAGGAGTTATTTCTGCTATGAACCTTTTCTTTATCTTATCTTCCCAAACACAACTGATTTCTTTATGTTTTGGTTCTTCAGAGCTCTATTCTGGACCACTAAGGCCCTTATTATACCTTAATGTGCTAATTTGTTTTTATTTCAGTAAGGTTTTTTTTTTTACCCATTGGAATGATTCTTAATAGGTATTTCTGCCATTTTTGCAGATTGTAGAGCAGGTATATGAGGGAAACATGAATAACTAATTTGTAAATCAAACCACAGAGATAAATATTCTACTGGAATGTGAGAGTGGAGTGGAGAACGGGTGGGCAGAATAAAAAAAATGTACAGACATTGGTTAGACATTGGTTAGACATTTTAGGCATGTTTTTCAGCTTTCTGTTTCTAAATACAATGTGTTAAATAAGTAAATTGAATTTATAAAGAACAGGTTAAATTTTTCTTTTCAATATTGTACAAAGTGTGTATATCTATATATTTATAGGTATCTATCTATCTATCTATCTATCTGATATAGCAGTCTCAGGTTTAAAGAAAAAAAATTCATATCCAAAATAAACTTATAAACTTTTTAAGTTCTTGTCATTGATGTGCAGACTTCTAAAAATTCTGCATTCTTAACCTGTTTTTCAGTATGCAAGTATGCTTGCCATAAGAAGTGTTGTCTGAAAACCACAGCCAAGTGTTCTAAAAAGGTAAGAAGTTACTACCTATGATTAATGATTAACAGATCTGTTGGTTTTTTGTGCCTCATGAAAATAAATCAAGGCCTCTTTGATAGTTTTATAGAGCAATGGTATTCAAACTTATGACGACAAGTCACAGTTAGAAATACACATTTTTATGTCATGCTCCAGCATACACATATAGAAAGGTGTGTGTGTGTGTGTGTGTGTGTGTATATATATATATATACATATATATATATATATATAACTGAATTGATTTTCTTGGAACTATATTCATCATGACTACATGAGAGCTACTAAACTGATTCCCCGATAATTTATTAAAACACTACTTTTAAAGGTTTCTTGCTTCATTAAGCACTCATAAGTGTTCCTAGGAATTGTCTTCAAAGTGGTAGGTTACAATTAAATATTTTAACATGAACATCAAAATTCATTGCATAGTTTGTGGATACATAGGCAGATATCTAAAAGATACTGAACATGTACTTTGGTGTCTCATGCTTCAAGGAAGCAACCATTTTTGAAAGATTTCAGACTTCTGTTGATGTAAAATCAAGTATTTTCTTACTTATTAGTCACATACAGACAATTGTAACAATTCTGTGCAAATATGAACTGTAATATAAATGTGTGTGCATTTGTTTATAGCTTATGTATAGAATTTGCATCTGTTCCAAATTAGTAGACAAATTATGGCAAAGCACAAAGGAACTTTTTATTCAAAACTTAAAATACAGTGGAGGTGGGCCCTGGCCGGTTTGGCTCAGCGGTTAGAGCGTCGGCCTGCGGTCCGGAGAGACCCGGGTTCGGTTCCCGCTAAGGGCACTTACTTCGGTTGCAGTTTGTCCCCGGCCCTGGTTGGTCGTGCGGGTAGCAGCCACTCGATGTGTCTCTTCACATCGATGTTTCTCTCTCTCTCTCTCCCTTCCTCTCTCTCCCTCCCACTCTATCTGTACAAAAAATGGAAAAATATCCTCGGGTGAGGATAAAACAAAAAACAAACAAACAAACAAAAAATACAGTGGAGGTGGGACATTTGCTTCCAGCTAAGATGACATAGCTTGTGGAAGACTAATGTTCATGCTGAGAACAACTGAAAAATTCTGTTGGGAAGCATCAGAGAGCTGCCTAGGCAAACTGCACTTTAGGGGCCTAGATCCTAGAGAGAAGAGAATTGTGGAGTTGGTAAATCTATATCTATGAGGTGTTTTTCTCCTTGTGGGGAGTTGTCAATTTTTGTTACAGGACAAGAAACCAAGATTCTGGATATAAGACCACATTTTAAGAATCAGAGAAGTCAGCAAAGTTTTTAGGAACCTCATAGAGCTGTAGAGACAAAATTTGGATTCTAAGATTGTCAGGGCCTGAAGGACTGGTCCACACATAGAGAAGTAAGCCTGAAAATCAGAGGTTTATTTCCCCAAGGAATTTTCTGAATTCTTAATCTACACAAAACAAAAGGCTAAGAAGCTAAACAGCAAAGCAGATTAGAGTTTTTTGCAGTCCCACAGTGCTGTACCTAGGAAAAGGGGGTAAACCATTGATAGACTGAACTTTATCAAAATGGAAAACAAGCTTTGAGGCTGTCCTTGATTAGATCAAGATGATCTGTTGTTATTTTAGCTACTCACCAGAGAGAATAGGTGAATCCTCTCTAAAGAGAGATAACATCATCCAGAGCCTTTATAATTTGTTCATATATAATATCATATATTAAGAAATGAGATGAAGAAAAAAACAAATAGACAATATCAGTAGACTCATAGATGACTCAATTTTTATTGAATTGTCAGACATGTACTTAAAATTTTTTTTGATTAGTATGTTCCAATAATAGGTAAAAAGATAGAAAATGTCTATCAGAAAATGGAAAAAAATAATACATATAGATATATATTCATTCAAATGGAAATTCTAAAAATAAAAAATGCAACTGAAATTATAAAACTCAAAAGATAGGTTTATTCTTTTTTTAAAAAATTTATTAGTAAGCCTCTATTTTATTTTTTTGTAATTTTTCTTTATTGATTTTAGAGAGGAAGGGAGAGGGAGAGAGAGATAGAAACATCGATGAGAGAGAACATCGATTAGCATGCCCTCCACTGGGGATCAGGTCCATAACCTGGGCACATGCCCTGACTGGGAATTGAACTGGCAACCTCTTGGTTCATGGGTCCATGCTCAACCACTGAGCCACATCAGCTGGGTTCAAAAGATAGGTTTAAGAGCATATTGATCATAGGAGAAGAAATGATAGAACTATCCAAGCATGGAGAACAAAAAGGATGTATAAATATAGAAATAAAAACAAAAGACATATGGGAAAGAATGAAAGATTCTTAAATGTGTGTAATTGGAGTCCAGGAAGAAAGGGATAAAATCCAACAAATCAAGTGATGGGTTCATGAACCACTTTTAATGTCAAGTGGGATAAAGACAAAACTATACCAGATGCACAGTGCTTCAAATGAAAGAAAAAGAAAATTTCTTGAAAGCAGTCAGAGGGGGAAGAAAATAAACATTACCTAGCTGAGCAATGAAAAGACTGACAACTGACTTCTGAACTAAAATAAAGGAAGCCAAAGACAGTAGCTTGGCCTATTTTAAGTGTTACAAGAAAATAAAACTAACCCAGAATTCTGTACCCAGTGACAATAGTCTTGAAAAGTGAAAATGATATGAAGACATTTCCAGATTACAAAATTCAGAATTTGTCACCAGGAGACCTGCACTAAAAGAAATACTAAAGGAGGTTCTCCAGGTGGAAGGAAAATTATCTCAGCTGGAAACACAGCTACAGGAAGAAATGAAAAGTAATGGAAGGAGTAAATAATATGTGTAAATATAAATGACTATTACTAAAAACATAATAATTATTGTCTTGTAGGGCTTAAAATATGTAGATAATCAAAGTACATGAAAACAACATAAAAGATTGTTGGGTAAATGAACTTAAACTATTTTGAGGTAACTGGGTTATCTGGAAAGTGGTAAAAGTCCTAAAACTATATTAGACTTAAATGTTACAGATATTTGTTGTAGTCCTTTAAGTAACCACCTAGAGAACAGCAAGGGAATATACAGCTTAAAAGCTAATAAAGATGATAAAATCGAAAAATAATAAATACTTAATTTTTAAAAAGACAAGATATGAGAGAAACAGAAACATAGATCAGGTCAGACAAAGAAAAAAATAGTGGATTGGCACATATGAGTGCAAATATTTTGGCAATTACATTAAGTATTAATAGACCAAGGAGACTTCTGGCCAAGATGGTGGAGGTGGTAGGATACCCATGATGTGGCATTAAGAAACAGGAGAGATATTTTGGCTGTGGAGATCCCCCTGAGGAGCAAGGAATCCTAGCCCTACACCCAGGTTCTCAGTCCAGGGCTCCAGTGCTAGGAAGAGAAGTTACCATAACTTCTAGCTCTGAAAACCAGAAGGGATTACAGCTGAGTAAGATGGAGATTTAGGCACTGCAGGACTTAAAGGGACCATGCACAGACTCACTCACTCACAAACTCACTCACTGTGAGCTCCAGCACAGGGGCAGTGGCTTGAAAAGTGCCAGGGACACTGAAGAAGGAACTGAATTGACTCGCTTCAAGGTGAAGGTTGGTGGGGCAACTCTCTCCAGGACTAAAGTGCTGACAGGCTCCGTTGTTCCTTTATTGAGCTCTCCCCTCATCCAGCTTGCAGGTGCTGGCAGGTGGCAATCTGAATGCTCCATTAACCTGGCTAATACCATTCACCCCACACTGGTGATACCCTAACACCTAACCACTCACCCCAGCAACAGCTGGAACCTCTTTTAGCTGTAGCTCCACACAAAGAGCCTGCCTAGCTACTAGCACTGTGGACTTTTCTAAAATCTCTCAAAGGTTCACAGACCCCAAATAAGTAATGTCTGGCTTTGGTGTGCCCCATATCTCATGCTAAACAGTTCCAAAACTGGCACTAATAGCAGCCTGTCTCAGTTCACAGCTTAGCCTCTTGCAGGCACCTTCAAGATAAGTACAAGTGGCAACCAAATGCAGGTTACTTTGTAGCTCCTACCAGGATATCCTAGGCTGGGCACAGGCAGTGGCTGACCTTGGCCTGCACCAGAGCCCTCCCAAGAGGTCCCAGAACCAACACATTCAGTAGCTGGCTTGGGACCACACAAGACCACTGTCCAACCACCTCCACAAATTACACACTCAGAGGGTGGACTAAGCAGCCTTGTTAAAGTGAATCCCATTTTGTGGGGTCAGCCCCTGCACAACAGGTCCTCCACTGTAGTCACAGCCATTCCTCACAGCCACTCATCCTGAGGGTCAGCTCCTCCCACTGATATCAAAACAACAATCATGGCTCAACTGCAAATGGAGGGCACATACAATCCACACAAGGGACTCCCCTGGAGCACCCAGCTTAGGTGACCAGGGAGACTGCATTACTGTGCCCCACAGGAATCCTATTTTATAAGTACATTCTGCCAAGACTGGAAGATGTAACAGATCTACCTAATACATAGAAACAAACACAGTGAGTCAGCCAAAATGAGGAGATAAAGAAACATCCAAAATGAAAGAACAGGACAAGAAAACGAAGGAAATGGAGCTAGCAATCTACCACATACAGAATTCAAAATACTGGTTATAAGGGTGCTCACTGAACACAGGGGAAGAGTAGATGAACTCAGTGAGAACAACAAAAGGATAGGAAACAAAAATGAATAGAAAATATGAAAACAAACCAATAAAAAATTAAGAGTACAATAAAAGAAATGAATAATACATTAGAGGGAATCAACGTTAGATGAAGCAGAAAATTGAATTAGTGAATTAGAAGATGAGGTATCAGAAAACAGAATAACCCAATATAGGAGCACCAAAATATATTAAAAAACTTTTGGAGGACTTCAAAGGAGAAATCGATAGCAATACAATCATAGCAGGGGACTTCAACACCCCGCTCACATCACTGGATAGATCCTCTAGACAAAAAATTAGCAAGG